TCCTCTATCATTATTAAATGACACCCTGCTCATTCATCCATTTAGCGTGGAAGTTCAGGTATGATGGACGATGGGGAGCACGATGTAAAACGTCTGATTCGATTCGAACCATAATAGAGAAGTGCAGAATTATCCTACAACTCGATTTCTTGAGCATGAAAATTCAGACTAACATTATTTGGTAAAATGAACAAAACAATTGCCATCATAAAAGTGTACAATGACGAAGAATTGAAAGAAGCAATTGTCAAATGTCGTAATACTCGATTACCATCCTCAAAACACTTGCGTTATTGCTATCCTTGTATCTGTGAGATACGTGATAAAAAATCCATAATATTTCTAATTCTACATTTCTATTTGAGATAAATGTTGTGAATAAATGAGTTAACTTTTTTTGTCTTTTTAATAATATAAAATTACAAAAATGCTTGTAAAATCCGATAAAAATATTATGTGTTATCTTGTTAGAGTGTATGAAATAATTACACATTTGTTTTACACTACAAGAATCGATCTGCAATAATATAGTCTAAACGAAAAAATAGTTTAAATAATGAATTATAAAGAACTTATTAGTCACAGTTTTTTTCCCATTCTGCGAATTCGAGTCAATCTCAGTCTTCCTCTTCTCATCATTCTTATCCGTGTCATCAAATAACATTTTTTGAACTCTTGCTATATCATTTGGGCAATTCAAGACAAAAATATTGTTTATGCATGCCATCCTCTGTAATTATGAAAAAATGAAACGTACTGTCGTTGTGTATCTGACATTCATTTGCCACTATTGAGTGATTGAACATCATTTGTCGCAAATCAGAAAAACATCATTGTTTTACTATCTAGAATGAGAATAATCAGGTGAAGATGAAAAAAATAACAATAAAATAGATTAATTAAAAATACTTCTTTCAAACGTATTTGCTGTCGTCGTGTCTGAGAGATTCGCTGGCCGGTGACCTCGATGAGTTTCTCTTCAAAAGAGCTCGCACTAGAGGTACTGTATAATTGGTTCCCCATAGTTTATGAAGACAGGTGTAGAGAGTGTATCCCATCTCTATAGCCGCGGTTACAGTTAAAGAAGTAGGTGTGTATCTCACAGACACAAGGAAAACATTCGAGTGTTGTTGAGCAAGATGGCGTCAGAGGATTGAAAATATCATCACACAATGGTCTTAGGAAACGTGCTTTTTTGTTATTTTAAGTCACATCAACATCTAGGTCATTAGTGATCACTATTGTAGTTATCGGTATGGTAACTGTATAGATGACATGATATGGTGATGATAGTGGATGAAAGGACGAACACAAATACAACCACGCTCGAGGCGGGACTCGAACCCGCGATCCTTCTGTGCGAGATCGCTAAGGCACTTCTCAACGATATCAACAAACGTATTTTTGTTAAAAATAAATAATAAACACCGAAATAAGAATTTGTTTGTACCATTCATTTACCTAGAAAAGTAAGGGATTTTAGTTTTCGATTTGCCAAAAAAAAAATTATTTGAGCAAATAATATAACGAAAACAGTATTCACAGAGTATACTACAGCAACAACATACTAGTAGTATTTGATAGAGGGCGCTGTGAAAATACTCGTAGAATGTTCTCGTAACGCGAAAAACTAAGATTGAATTTTTTGAATCTGTCCGCAATGCTTGTGAAGTGTGCTTTTATACACGAATACTGTGTACAGTTCTCAGATCTAGCAACTCGGCCCCCTTATTTCCCAGCGACGCTGAGTCGCAACTGAACCGGAAGAACTTGAACGTCGCCGCTCAGAAAACTCGCCCAAAGTCTATAAGCTGCTCTAATCCGCGCCGGCGGCAGCTACCGTCTGCACCCGGCTGATACGACTTTTAGCGCCGTTCATTTCGCGAACCAGGTTAAGAGAATCGCTGCGATACGCGAGAGTCGGCTCTCTTTCCCTGAACGAGAGTCGTTCCCACCGCGGGCCAGGCAGGGTGTGAGGGGGAGGGGAGGGGGGTCCGCGATGTCCCGGTAGCCGCAGACCGCGACAATATCCTCGAACTTGAGGACTGACGGACTGAGAATGGAGGCCTCGCGGTGACTAGAGGCTACCGCGTCCACTTCAACGCCGGTCTAATGACTTACACATTTATAGGAGAACGAGTGTGATCAGTCGGAGCGCGGGTCTTGCGATCCCATATCAGCGCACGGTGGGGCCGTAAAATGTTCAAAAGAGGCGGACGGGGGGCGTGGCGCTGGGCGAAGTCAGGCGGGGGTGGGTCGGGGCGGGAGTTAAAAGCGTCAGCAACGGAACAGCGTTGTGTCGGGCGGGCGACGCGGAGTGCGCGGTCCCGCCTTCAGAAACCCCTGACATGAAATAACAGTGTTTGTTGGTCAGTCATTGTCACCACAGCCGAGAACGCGGCTTCGTCGCGGAATACTCAGAGTGGCACAGCCCCGGGGGCGATCGCACGATTCCCTCTCCCCTCCCCCTCTTCACCCTCCCCCAGGACACACCACCCGTTGAGACCGCCTTCCCCGCTCGGCGCTGGAGCCTCGGACCCAATCAAGCAAACCAAACCCACAACGCGAGCCTTGCTAAACCACGCAAGAAAATCCCATTCTCTTCCCCCTCGTTTTCTTATTTATTTTTTCTTCCTTATCCTTTCGTCCCTTTTTGTCTCGCGAGCTCCCCTCCGCGGGTCCGCCCTCTTTCCGCCTTCGAGCTGCCTACTTACCTCTCTGTATTCCGCACTTGTTCGAAATCGATTTAAAAGAAAATAAAACTTCTTCAGACGTCCCGCCGCGCCTGGAAAAGAGACGACCGAAAGAAGAGAAAGAGAAAGGGAGAAGGGGGAGAGAAAAAATCGCGGCACCACCACACGAGGCAGTCCTGCCGCTCCACGAAAGCAATGAATTTCAAATAGACTCTCAACAAGAATAACCAGATGCGTCTAGAAATTGGGCCCACTTCACTCGTCGCGCGCCCGGGGCGACGGTGGCGCCTCCACGCGGAGAAAAACGTTGCGCGTAGATCCTTTCGTGCCTGCTCCTCTCTCGCCGCCTCCGCCCGCGGCCGACAAATTGCGCAGCCTTGCGCAAACAATGGCTCATTTGTTGGCGCCGAAACGCCGCATAAAAGGTGGATGACACAGCCGATGAATAGGTGCGTAATAGTGACATTGTGTCGCCCACAAAAGGGCGAGGGAGGGAGGGGGACAAGGAGGAGTCGATTAAACGAGCGCTAATTCAAACGCGATTCGCCTGCGGGGGTTCCCCGGCGCATGCTCTGCTGGCCACGTGACTCTCGAGCTCCTGTTGAATGTTGCCTTGGGGTAATGAGGAGGGAAGAAGAACGATTGCACGAATAGTTTGGCGTTGTATATTCAGACAATAGGAGTTATTACTTTGTAATTATCATTCATGTTACTGTCCTTTACCTCGGAAGTAAAATATCCATTATTTACTTTCTAGATAAGGTTAAAATATCTATGGTACTTATTTCCAATCTGCGTAGAAATTGAAAGAACACTATATAATCCGAGCTATTTTGATACAAAAAAGAAAAAATTTAATCTCATCGCCTATATCGTTTGTAGTAAACACATGAAAAAAATACTGCATATATGCCTTTTGGTGCCACATATGTGTACAACGTAAAATATATTTTAAAACCTACTACAACTCTTAAAAAACCAAAAGTGTGAATCAAATTAGCTTGACCTGATAGCGATAATACAATACGATACATTGATGGAACTAAAGTGCTACAGCTTGATATCTCTATAAATTGTGCTTGAGAAACAACGAGCGGGCTGTAGTGAGCTGGAGTAAATATTGTAAAATAATTACATTCAAAGTATACCATACTGGAAACGTAGTCAGAGCTCTCAATTAATGCAGCTGAACATAATTGCTCAAAATGAGTGTTATCAAAACCATTGGGCATCCTGCGGCCAGCAGGCCGCCAGTTGGAAACCCCTGGCCTAGAGGTACACATGTACACGTGGTCATCCATCAAGTAAACACTGTGCATACACCAGACGCATACTACTACACTAGGCGTTCACTAGTTGCACATAAGACGTACAAGTAAATCAATTGTGCTCAAACATGAAACCTTCGTGCTACGGTCTTAATGCCAATCTCCTAAACCTCTTGATTCTTAGTACGGGTTGAAGTAGCTCAGGGAATCAATGATGTCACTGCACTGTCTCTGACAGGGGAGTTCCGAGGATTCAAGTCCAGACAGTAGCAAGATTTTCGACTAGCAAGTTCGTATTCCGCTGCTGTCTGGAGGAAAATTCTAGCGGCCGCCTGCTCTGATCGGTAGTTTTCCGTGGTTTCTCTGATCATTATCAGGCGAATGCCGGAACAGTACCTCAACAATCAGATCAAGCATCGTGCGCGACTTTTTTGTGATCCTTGTCCTATCCTTAACCGTAATTACTTACATTTACATGCTGTACTCTACCATACACTGGAAAGACCAATCGGAGCTTGCACCAGTTGGAGCGTGATGGGGAAAAAATCCTCCTTGCCACCTCCCGTGATAAAAAAAATGCACTTCACTTGCCGAGCGAGCTCATGTGTGCAGTTTTGTGAACGCACGGAAAGTGCAGCGCACGTTCACGCCACTGCGGTGTGACCATTTCTATTTTTACGGGCGTCTACGGCCAATCCTGCTCCATATAAAGAAAGGTAGAAGGTCAGTAGGACTTAAGACAGCTTTTTTCTCGACTGCAGAAATAGAAAGATCGTTTCAAGTGTCATTGCGCTGTTTCGGTTTTCTTCCTCCACTTCACTTACGTAAATAATGAATATAGCTGTTGACGCGTCCGGAAACACGAAACAATCAATCAATCAAGATTTTTTTTTAAAAAGTAGTTTGGGATGTCATTTTAAAATTTAGACACTAAAAGGGCAGATGATTGCCAAAAAATACATGAACCTATCAATGATGTAAAGAACCTAATTAATCACTGTGGCAATCCATACCGCAACAAGTTAAACAAAAGCAACCAATGAACGCATCGTGTGTGTGTTCGCAGGTGTCCTGGATCCGCCACCGGGACATCCACATCCTGACGGTGGGCGGGTATACGTACACGAGCGACCAGCGCTTCCAGGCCAACCACCACCGCGACAACGAGGACTGGACGCTGCAGATCAAGTGGGCGCAGAAGCGCGACGCGGGCGTCTACGAGTGCCAGATCTCCACGCAGCCCGTGCGCAGCTACTTCGTCAACCTCAACATCGTCGGTGAGCCACACGCGCGCACGCGCTCTTTCGAAAATACTCGTCTTCAATTGACGTCGCCTTGAGGTTATCTCGTCAGAAATACGTTACATATGCCGCAGCGGAATGCATCCCCATTATACAGAATAATAAATGTATTTTAATAATTAAATTTCGTCTTAGAATTGTCACCCCGACCAGGACACGAAGCCAGGTCTCTTGGCTTGCGCCCAGTTGTTCTGAACAGAGCTGCTAGAGTAAGGGAGTGTAATCGAGGACAGGTAGGGGTGACAATTCTTTCTAGAAATATATAAGTATTGAAATACTTATATGTACTTTTTGTCGACGCATTTGCGTCGACGTTTCTTCAATTTATTTATCTGAAAAATACATGTGCCCCTACGGGTTTAACCGCAGTATTCGCCAGTCCTTGCCATGACGGTAACAGATTAGGGCGAGCGGTCTGTCTCAGTCACTCCGCAGTACAAAAGACAAGAAAATAGTAAATAATGTACTATTATTTTACTTTAGTAAAGATGTTAATTTTAAAGTGTGACAAGAAGAAGAAATTTACTGATTATATTTATATTTTCTTTTTTAAAAAACTTTTAAAAATGTAAGTCATGAGTTTAATACCATACAGCTTCATACATTCAAGAGAATTATATATTTTTGTCTTTTTATCTCGTATAGGTCTCAAGGTTCATCAGGTACAAGATTTGAAATAATAAAAATACACTAATATGAAGTACGTAATATAAATATAGTATATTATAAATGTGTCACCATTGTATAAATGTCAACATAGTTATTTTTATTTATTTTTATCAATTTTAAAATAAGTAACATATACTGCACACAAGAATTTTATTTTCAAAAAACAGAAATATAGAAACGTGCTATGCAAGATAGGAAACTAAAATTAAGGGGCAGATTGCCATTATGTAAATATACTATAGTAAATAATGATTTATAATATAATTGCCATAGTATGTGGTTGAGAGTGAAACCGCTTGCAGTTCCTCTGGATCGTGGAAAGGTGCAACAACGAATTGAAGCGCGGGGTGATCCAGAGACTAAGATCAAGGTGCTTATAGATTTCCTCAAGGTATTGAGAAGCTCGAAAGATTATAAAAATATCTACAAGTACAGTGGGTTCTTAAAAACTGCTGGGGTGAGTTCAGATACCCCGCGCGCGCCCACACACACACACACACACACACACACACACACACACATGCACTCATACACACACTCCCGAGTTAAATAGTTCCCTTCTGATTCACGGGGTTTGATTGTTAGGTGGGTAATATTTGGGTAGTAATTCACGTTTAATCAACTTAATCGTTTTTTATTTAATTACGAAATCATTATAAGTTTGAATTTATTACTATGCACTTAAACTCCTCCGCTATTCTGTAAGTCTCTTCGTTTCACTTTAGAAAACTTACAACCTTTGTACCCTTATTGGCAGTTCTTTTACATCTTTTACCACAGTGTAATATTAACATTCTCATCCTGACATCACAAACATACGTACGTCTTGCAAGTTTATTGATAGTCATGAAGCAGCGCCATTTCTACACGTAAATAGCTTTGGGGGCAACATTCCATGTCTGCGTCATGGGCAACTTTTTATGTTCATTTGTTTATCAGTATCATAACTACAAGCGTCAGTTTCAACTTGTTCTAATTGCGATTCCACATTGTCTAAAGCGCTGGGGATGCTCCTTATGTTGGTGAGCGCCGCTGAGGGCCTCATTCCCAAGGAATAAACAATTAACAGTACGGAGGGACGAATTATTTCATACTCCGGTATGTTGATAAGCAGAAGCGGTTTGTGGTTGCAGCCACATTAGTAAAATTGAAATAACTGTTTCTAATTTCAAAATAACTGCATTTCTATATATTATTATTTACTTCCAGAGGCGTGTGCAGCCAAAAATACGAGGAGCCAACTACATTTCTGTGCCTGTCTGACCCCTCCCCCATTTTTGATTTTCGCATTACATATTCACTAGTGAATACCTAAAACATACTACAAGTAGAATAAAATTGAAAATGTACGATACGATTAACAAATATTATTGATTTTTTGTTTAATCGTTCACAGGGTTCCCAGATGGTGTGCAGAAGTTCTTCCTCAAATGTCATGTCAATTTCCCAAATTGTCAGCTTGAAAAAGAGAGAACTTAGGAATAGATCCTATTTACAGAAACATAATGTTTTATAATGTAGTACGGCGGGACCCATTTTGAACATTTCAGGCCTCCCGTGTGCGCGCGCCTGTTTACTACTGAACATAAAAACCTATTAATTGTTTTAGAGTGTTTGCCAGTTTTTTCGAGCTCATCTCGGGAATGAATGAACTGATTTCAATGTGAGTTTTACTGAAAGATGCATTAGGAACTTCGGGCGCACGAAGTATTAATGAGAATTTGACTGACAGCTCGATTTGCACACTCGCCTGCATACCACGTCGAGGGCACAGAAATGTGGGAAGCTGTAAACAAATTACTGCTTAAAGAATAAAAATGCCATTGCGGAAACGGTTCACTAGCTGTTCATCTAAAATGAACTGTGAATGAATCTGAGAATTATAGAAGAAATAAGTGGTTGTGCAAACTTGTAACCGAGTCAGAATACGCCAGTGTTTGAAATAAAATTTAGAACTGTTCTGTAGTTACCCAACAACAACAGCAATAATAATAATAATAATAATAATAATAATAATAATATATTTCTTTATGTAAGATGTTAGCCCAAGCTGAGTTTCAATGAAAATATTAATTTACATACTAACCTTAAAAGATACAATATGCAATACAATAGTATTTATAATATTGTTAGAAGTGTCGTTAAATGGACACAAAATATGTTATAAAGATGATATTTAATAGGTGATAACATAGGAATACAATAAAAACATATAATATGAAATATAGTGGTAATATTAATTCAAATTAAACATTGTTGATTTTCTGATGCTAAGAAGAATCATACGTTCGGAACATCTGTACATGTTGGACTGTGTGATGTAATATTGGGATAGTCGAAGTTGATAACACTGCGCTCTCCATGTTATCAACTCTTTTAGACTTTCATATTAGATACCATCGGCCGACCCTATGGTCACCATTATTACGTTACTTTCCTTGTTCTCAGTCTGGATAGAAATGTGAATAAGGTAAGGTTTTATTTATTAATAGAACGAAAAAAGTCATAAATTTTAATTAATATTCCCGCGCATTTAGTCAAACTACTTTTATTTACTACATGCGTAGCATGACCATTCTAAAATCCCCACATTCGGGCCTGCGATAATTGTAATGGATTTTAAATTATGTAAATCAGCTTCTATCCAGCGTCTTGTGCAGGTAATGTGCCCTTCACGTGGTTTTAATGGCATTTTTCTTTAGATATTTCAGATTCATGTCTGCATTTAGACTGTAAAAGTATTCCCATGCAATACTTTTCTAGCATGAAAGGTGTGTATATTTTTTCCTTTTCTTTCTAAAATATTTGAATATATAGTTTTATTTCACACTATTGAAGAGCTGGTAGATATTTTTTTCTACTACATTGACTTCTCTCTTCAGTTTTTTCAGCAGCCTGGTGATTTCTATTGGGTTAATGTCTGTATTTTTAATGTAAGATAGATTTCCTTCTTTAAAATATACCGGCTGGAAGTGTTGAATTGTCATTAAATCTAATTTTTCTATTATATTGCAATGTAATACTTATTGACCTACCTTTATTAGAAGTCAGCAAGTACTCATATAATTTTACTCTGGTTAACTTTACACAATATAATATTTAAATAGTGTAAAAGTATTGTCCATTAATTTAATAATACATTTACTGATATTTTCAGGTTCTCCGAAAATTGTATTTTCGATTTTAAATCTTCATGAGACTTGTATTTGTACAATTCTATATTTTCTTCATGTAACTCGTTTAGAATGATGGCTGATCTTTCTAACACCAAATACAGACCGTGTACTATTGAATACGCATCTGCATTATTTCATTTTTGTTCGTGCTATATCGCTTGTTGAAATACGTCGTAACTTCTCTGTACTACGGACGTAGTCTGAGCAAGTGTCGTGTTTTACCTCTGCGTTTTGCAGAAAGACAGTTTTAGTAAATATGCTATTATGCTCTAGATAGTTGTATATTAATAAAGAGGAAATAATCTTATTCATATATTTCCGAACGAGGCGACAAAAACAAAACAAGTGAACCTTAATTTAAAATGTTCAGTTTCGTTACAACTTCACCCTTTGCTCCATAACGCGAAGCAAATTAAAATGGCTCGAAGCCCTCCGTTTCCTCCCTCCGCTCTCTCCGCAGCCTTCGAAGCGGCGCTGGAGCGAGGGGCGAGGAGAATGCGGAGCGAAAGGGAAATATCTAATTTACCGGTTGCAAATTGGAATCGGATTCGAATCTTAATGCCATGCAAATGTGGTTTCGGTGGTCGGTGCCGATGGAGTTGAGGACGGAGGCGTTTACCTCTCCACTCGCCCAAACGAACGCGGAAGGACTGCTATCGATATCTCGCTACTGAAAGACAGCGAGTGTGTGTTGAGAGTAAAACGTTTTTAACGGACAAATTTAAAACTCGATGGTGGGTCTGCAATGAATCTGACAAAAATTGACACAGTGCAGAAATATTTTATTTTGAGTGAATTTTATTTTATTTCTGATCCAAAGACAGTCTTTTACACTAAATAACGGATGCCTTAGGTATAATCTTTATGATAATACATAATAATAATAATAATAATAATAATAATAATAATAATAATAACAATAAGGGGGCAGAAATTCACAAAAGAAGGAGCAAAGTGTACGTTGTAAACTTTCAAACCAAAGAAGAATACTGGATTCTCCAGATGACCTCGATCATGGCAACGCTGACCCCCCTGATATGTGGGGCGGATGGATCATGTTTGATCATTCAACTTACGGCTAGACTTGTGGCGAGTGATTTTTATCTCTTCCGCAATAGAAGAATTGGCTAGGAGGCTAAAGCTTCCAGACCAATGAAGTTCAAAGCAATGTGCACGCCCATCTCACATCATTGGCGGCAATGTTCGGAGAAGAGGTACTCGAAAAGCATGAGTACAGATAAGGCAGACATTTCTGAATCTTAATATACTCTAACTCAGACAACGGATGCATCCTGTTTCTGGAGGGAGGGGGGGGAGTTTATCTGAATTACGATTTGTATCCCCCTAAGTTATAGCCCTGGGTGTTTGCACGATGAGATAATGATAATGATGATGATAATTGTGATGATGATGGTGGTGAGGAATGAGAGGACGGCACCCACATATAGACATACACAAATACACCCATGCCCCGGGCGGGACTCGAAACTGCGGTCTTCTGGTCCAAGACTGCTCTATGTTTTCCTATTGCAATGTATTACTTCTCTCTCTCTCTCTCTCTCTCTCTCTCTCTCTATCTATCTATCTATCTATCTATCTATCTCTATCTATCTCTATCTATCTATCTATCTATCTACCTATCTATCTATCTATCTATCTACCTATCTATCTATCTATCTCTCTCTCTCTCTATCTCTCTCTATCTGTCTTCGTGTCTTTCCGACTCTCTCTCCGTCTTTCTGACTCTCTGTTTCTGCTTGTTTATCTCTCTACGTGTCCGTCTTCCTCTCTCTCTCTCTCTCTCTCTCTCTCTCTCTCTCTCTCTCTCTCTCTCTCTCTCTCTCTCTGTATGTCTCTTCCGAGAGAAATTTCGTTATCGTAGAGGCAGAACACGCAATGAAGACGTCTTAATAATCGTAATTCAGTGTGCGGCGGGTTGCGTAGAGAGCGCCGTGACTTAAAGCACCCCCTACGTGAGATCATTATAAACCCGCGTCTGTGCGCAGGCAAATGCAAATTCCCATAGTACTTTGCATGGAGTCAGTAGACACAGCTTTATTGCAATCGGATGAACGGTACAATAGCGCATTATGCACGAACCACACACAAACATTGTTTTTTATATATTAGATTTCCTTTTTGTTATAATCCAGCAGAGGTTGAGAAAAACGCCCCTCGGTTGTATTTTTGAGCAGCATCCTCCTAACAGCGCTCTCGAGCGGTGACCGTGGCGCGGTGCCCGCGGCGGCATGTGCAAGGCGGGCGTCGGAGCAAAGACCCCCCCGCGGGACGGCGGCCTTGCAATTACAGGAGCGCGCCACGCGCCCCGTGCGGCTTCGTAATTAGCGAAGGGCCACGTGGAGCGGGAGGAGGGGGCGGGGCTCCCTGCGATATACACGGGCCCCGCAAATTTCCCAGCACTTCTCATTTTTCTCCTCTTCCTCCTCTTCCCCTCCTCCTCCTCCTCCTTCTTCTTCTTCTCCTCCTCCTCCTCCTTCTTTTTCTCCTCCTCATTTTCATCACCCTTGTGCTTTTTCTTCTCTTTCTTTTCCTACTCCTTCTGCTTTTTATCATCCTCCTTTTCCTCCTCCTATTTCTGTTTATTCTACTTCCGCTTACTCCCTTTCTGCTTCTTCTTCTGCTTTTTTTCTTATGGTTGTTTGATTAATTAATTAGTTAATTGATGTTTCCGGGAAATCATTGGCCCGTACGTGTAGTGAACATCTTATGCCGGCAGGCGGTGGTGATTCTATAGTCAGATCACACGCCGACCTATACGTCGGCTTCTAAGGAATTTCCTTGTGGAGATATATCTTCTCAACAGTGCACCGCTCCTGCCGAGAGAAGCTCTTCAGCTCCC